CAGCTGGCCTGGAACTCACTATGTAGACCAGGCTGGCCTGGAACTCAAAGATCTGCCTACCTCCTGAGTGCTAGGGTTAAATGAGTGCACTACCACTGCCTGCCATAAATAAAATATTTTAATAAAGAGTATGTCCTTGGCTGGATGTTGTGATCTACATCTTTAATCCCAGCACTTGGGAGGCAGAGACAGGCAGATCTCTTGTGAGTTGAAGACTAGCTTGGTTTGCATAGTGAGTTCCAGGACAGCTGGGGCTATAAGGGAGACCCTGTCTCAAAAAAAAGAATGTCCTCAGACTTGTCTTGGTGGTGCCTGTGTGTCATCCCAGCCCTTAGGAGTCAGGGATGATGAGTTCAAGGTCAGCTAACCACATAGTGAGGCCCTGTAAACAAAAAAAAAATAAACCCTCAGATTTTCCAGGTCTGTCCATCACAGCGATACATTTAAAGGAGAATGAATAGCTAGTGGGAGCATGGAGACTTGGCATCAGATGCCGGTTGCCAGAACTCAGTCCTAAGGAGTCTTTAGGCCTAGCTTTGGAGGGCTGCGTCAAGGCAGTATATATATGTTAACGTGGAGACTTGATTTTTTTGTAGTACTACATATTGAGTCAGGGTCTTGCACTTGCTCGAGTGGTCTACCACCGAACCATACCTCCAGACCTAAGGCTTGGGAATACCTTTTTTTGGGGGGTGGGGGGTTGAGACAGGTTCACCCTGTAGCCCAGCTGGCCTGAAACTCACTATGTAGACCAGCCTGGCCCAGCCTCTGCTCCCGAGTGCTGGGATTAAAAGCGTGCTTGGGAATATCTTAAGAGCGAAGTGTAGCATGCTCTGTCAGTGTCACCTGTGGGATGCTCCCTTCGCCCCTGAGTGTGGTCTGTAGGAGGTCTCAACTGCTCTGCTTTCCTTTTCAGGGAATCATACAACAGAATTTTTCGTGAGCTGACTGTGTTAAGTTACCTTAGCCAACTGATGCCTCCACTGCCAAAGCCACTTAGTCCTTTGCACAGTCTGATACCTTATCAGGTAATCGGAACTGGTGGGAGACATTGTTTACTGATTATATACTTGCCACTTCCTGTGTCCTACTTAATTCTCACAACAACTTCTGCTGTAGGTTCCACTATTATCCTGTTCTTCAGATGGCAAAACCAAGCAAGAGAAGCGCTAGGTGACCCTGAAGGAGCTGTAGAGCTAGTCCTGGGCAGGGGAGATCAGCGTTTGCTGTAGATGTAGTTTCACTTGTTACAAATCATCTTTTTTTTGATTGATTTTTTAAAAATTTTATGCATATGAGTGTACTGCCCTAGTGTGTGTGTAAGTGCACCCATGTCATACAATGCCCATGGAGGTCAGAAGAGAGTATTAGATCCCCTGGAACTGGAGTTACAGGTGGTGGTTAGCCGCGGTGTAGGTGCTGGGAACTGAACCCAGGTCCTCTGCAAGAATAACCAGTGCTCTTAACTGCTGAGATGCTCCAGCCCCATAAACCGTCTTTTAATCTGGTGGCCATGCCCACACGTACACTTCCTGTGACTTGGTTTGTCAAAATCTGTAGCACGAGAGTCGTATCACATGGCACAGAGTAGTGGTAGGGTTCAGGGGTAGGTTCAGCTAAAAGCCAGAGCCATTGATAAGCAAGCCCTGCTTGTGGTGACATGGATACATGCATGTGTCAGAAGTTGCTCTGTGCTTGCATCTGTGGAAACATGAGGAAGCAGTGCAGTGGCATGGTGGTCAAAGCCTAATTCTAAATTAAAAAACCTAAATTCTCTTGTTTTGAGGGTTAAAGTGGTTCGCAATCCCAGACTGGCCTGAAAGTAGATACTTAGCAGACCTTGAACTCTTGATCATCCTCTCCCACCCCAAGTGCTGATTATAGGCATGTACAACCACACCCAGTTTTACATGGTAGTAGGGAGTCCAACCATGCTAGGTTGGCAAGCTTATCAACTGAGCCATCAAACCTTAGTTTTTGTTTCTAAAGCCCAGATTTTGACTAAATGTGGGTGTTGGCACATGCCTATAATCTAGCTCAGGGGAGGTGGAGCAGGAGGCTCCTTGGGGTTTGCTGGCCAGACAGACTGGCTGAATTGGCTAGCCTCAGGTTCAGTGAGAGACTTTATCTCAAAAAACAAGGTGTAGAGTGATTGAGGAAGACATCCCCCACTGGGGCTTGAGAGACAGCTCAGTGGATAGGGGCTGCTCCTGCAGAGGACCCAGTTTGGTTCCTAGAACCCACATGACAGCTCACAACCTTCTTAACTTCTGTGCCAGGGGATCTGACACCCTAGTCTGGCCTCCATGGGCATTGCACACACTGATGTGCTTGTGTATATGCAGGCAAAACACACAGAAATTAGTATAAATTAAAAAAAAAAAAAGCCTCATTGATGTCTGACCTCCCAAGATACATAGATTAACACATGTATACACACATAAGAATTACAAAGTATTTGAAGTCTGTAGTATCCCAACACTTAGCTCTTAGACGACTGAAGCAGGTGGATTTTGAGTTCAAGGTCATGCTGGACTATCCAGTAAGTTCTTGCCTAATATAAAGGGTTTCAGGGGCTAGAGAGATAGCTTGATGGTTAAGAGTGCATCCTGTGCTTCCAGAGTCCAGTTCTTATACCTACATAAAAAGGTCTTTCAAAATAAAAATTGAGGGAAATGCACATTTATGATTTATTCTACAGGTCCCTTTCAATGCAGTTGCACTCCGGGTTACTCACTCTGATGTTGCTCCCACCCATATATTGTATGCTGTGAATGCCAGCTGGGTTGGTCTTTGCAAGATCGTGGATGATATGAAAGGATACAAGAGGGGTCCCATCCTGTTGGCCCAGACCCCAATCTGTGACTGTGTGGGCTTTGGTGAGTGAAAATAAACGATGTCTCTTACCCTGCCGGAGTGGATCCTCTTCTTTATCTGGTCTTGATCTTGTGTTTATAGGTTGGACGGATCAGGAAGAATACTGACCACCTGCCTTCCCTGCCAGCTTACCTGAGTCTAAGATTTCTATGGCCTCTCTCTTCTCTTTACCTTTTCTTTTTTGTTGGAGATGGGGTCTCATTATGTAGCTCTAGCTGGCTTGGTGCTCACTCTTTAGACCAGGATGGCCTCCAACTTGGAGAGATGTGCCTGCTTCTGTCTCCCAAGTGCTGAGTTTAAAGGTATCACCACCATGCCTGGCTCTTGGCCCTCTTCTTACTAGACACCTTTTCCTAAGGCCATCTTAATCCACTGCTGGGGCTCTGACTCCATCTTTAGGTAGACTATTCCCATAATCCCCCTCCAGCACAACCACATCTGCCCACCAAATCCATCCACCACTCAGCATATCTACATGGGGTCAGAGGCAGGCAGATCTCTGTGAGTTCAAGGCCACCCTGGTCTACATAATGAGTTCCAGGCCAGCTGGGGCTACAGGGAGACCCTGTCTCAAAAAGACCAACAAGAAAATCAGTGTTGAATTTTGGAAGAGTCTTAGAACTAAGTGACCCCCCCAACTAGCAAAATCTAAACAGAGATGTGTACTTTTCAGATTTGTGCAGCACCATCTCAAAAGCATTTGCATAGAAATTGCATCATCCCGGGGCTGGAGACATGGCTCAGCGTTTAAGAACACTGAGCATTGTTCTTGCAGAAGACCGGGGTTTGAATCCCGGCACCAATATGGCAACTAACAACTGTCCCTAACTCCAGTTCCAGGAGATCTGACAGCCTCTTCTTTTTTCCACAGGCATTGCACAATATAGGTGTACTTAACTACATGCAGGCATAGCACTCATACACATAAAATAAAAATAATAAAATATTTTTTACAAAAAGAAATTGCAGGGTGTGGTGGCGCACATCTTTAATCCCAGCACTTGGAAGGCAGAGGCAGGGGGGTCTCTGTGCATTCAAGGCCAGCCCGGGCTACATAGGGAGGTTCCGGGCAGTTGGGGCTTCAGGGGGAGCCGCTCTCAAAAAAAACAAAAAAAAAAAAAAAAAAAGAAATTTCATTATTTGGTACCAACCATAGAGAAGGAATGTGTAGCAAGGGAAGAGTGTGTCTTCTCTGTGCTTCTAGGCACTAGATTTTTTGCACTAATTCCAGTAATCCAAGGCCTTTCCATTAGCCTGTTTTGGTTCCTCACAGCTGGGCAGGGGAAGGTCCAGAGTGTTTGAATTGTACTTTGTATTCTGAAAACAAAACAAGACTAGACATTTAAATTATTTTTTTTAAGTTTTTAAAAAATTATTTTTATGTGTATGAGTGTATCAAACCTATGTCCTCTGCAAGAGCAGCCAGTGCTTATAACAACTGATCCATCTCTCTAGCCCTGAAATTTAAACTCTTAATGTCAGTATCTTGGTTTGTAATGGTATGTATGTTTGGTGTCTCCAGAAAGGGTGATCATACTTTCTATTTTAAAGGAATCTGTAGAGGCATTGACATGGATAAGCAGCTTTACTACATCCTTACCCCTGTGCCTCCAGAAGAGTTGAAAGCTGTAAACTGCCTGCTGATCGGTACTGTTTCCATTCCACAGTGTATTTTTAAGAACCAGGTGAGTCCACAGAGGGGCAGCCCTGTAGGGGAGCCTGGGCAGATCACACATGGTCAGGAGCCCCAGGATAGAGCCATTATTAATAGAGGAGAGGTGGTGAGAATAGAGTTAACTTGCATAGTACTGGCCCCCCTGTGGACAGCCCTCAGAGGAACCTCTGGGAAGACTATGCCAATTACTGGTGTCCAGGATAGAGAGATGGCTCAGTGGTTAAGAGCCCTGACTGCTCTTGCAGAGGACCCAGGTTCGATTTCCAGCACCCACATAGTGGCTGTGAACCGTCCTTAACAGCAAGTTCCAGGGGAATCTGAAGCCCTCTTCTGACCTCCTCGGCATTGCATGACACGGGTGCCCTCACATACATGCAGGCAATGCACGCATACACATAAAATAAATAAAAAATAAAGGCCAGGTGTGGTGGCGCATGCCTGCAGTCCCAGCACTCGGGAGGCAGAGGCAGGCAGATCTCTCTGAGTTCAAGGCCAGCCTGGTCTATGTAGTAAGTTCCAGGACAGCCGGGGTTACAGGGAGACCCTACCTCAAAAAGACAAAAAAATAAGTTACTGGTGTCCTGTCTGACCCTAAAGCCAGTGTGGAGGGTGAGCGGCCAGAGTGGATCCAGGGGGCGTTGAGGGGTGTTTCGTTTTGTCTTTTTAAAACAGGGTCTCCCTATAGCTCCAGCTGGCCTGGAATGTGCTATGTAGACCAGCTGGCCTCCAACTCAAAGAGATCTGCCTGCCTCTCCCTCCCAAGTGCTGGGATTAAAGGTGTGCAAGACCACGGCCGGGTGTTTATTTTGAGACAGGGTCTCCTTGTAGGCCTAGCTGGCCTAGAACTCACAGAGATCCACTTGGCTCTGCCTCTCAAGTGCTGGGATCAGAGGTGCACACCATCTCTCACTGTGTTTGATGCGTTTTTGGAAACAGCTGGACAAAGATAAGATGTGGGCATCTTGTGGCTGGCTGGTTGCCCCAAGAGGACCCTTGAGGAATGCATTAAGTGCCCTGTGCTCCAGAGACCAGCTTCCCAGCATGCTGGCTTAAGAGTGAGTGTCCTCAGTCCTCGAGACTGAGTGTGCAGGTTCCATGCCGTTTGTGTGTTTCCATTTCAGGATGGGCTCGAAGGGACAATTCCATACGTCACCACAGATTACAATTTTAATCTTCCTGGAGCATCGGAGAAAATTGGAGTAAGAGAAACTGAGGAAGCGCATGAAAAGCCCTGCTTCAGATACAGGTCGTATCGGAAAGGAAAATAAAGTTCAGTGCAGAGACTTATATGGAAACCTTGTCTCCCAGGCCTGGTATCCAGAGGTTGGGGTTTCATGTGCAGTGTATAAAAGACAGTTATAAGTTTGTTTTTTGACAGGGTCTCGAGTGTTATTTAGCTCAGTTTCCCAGTTCCTTAACTGTTACAATAAAGATTCTTGTGCAGTGCATGTCTCTGGACGAGTGGAAGTAGCGCTCTGACTTACCTTTTTTTGTTTGGTTTTTGGTTGTTTTGTTTTGTGTTTGGTCTTTTTGAGACAGGGTTTCCCTGTACCCCAGCTGTCCTGGAACTCACTATGTAGACCAGGCTGGCCTTGAACTCAGAGAGATCTGCCTGCCTCTGCCTCCCGAGTGCTGGGACTGCAGGCATGCGCCACCACACCTGGCCTTTATTTTTTATTTATTTTATGTGTATTGCCTGCATGTAGGTCAGTGTACCCATGTCATGCAGTGCCCGCGGAGGACAGAAGAGGCTGTCGGATCCCCTGAAACTGGAGTTACGGACAGTTGTTAGCTGCCATGTGGGTGATGGGATTTGAATGCTTAAGTGTTTTGGAGCTGGAAAAACGTAAGTTTTATAAAACTTAAAGCGCATCTCCTGCCTTTCTTATTTTGCTTTTTTTTTTTTGGCCTTTTTGAGACAGCGTCTCCATGTAGCCCTAACTGGCCTGGAACTCATAGAGATCTGCCTGCCTCTGCCTCAGGAGTGCTGGGAATAAAGGCATGCGCCACCAGGCCCGTGAATTACCTTTTCTTAAAGTTTGCTTTTAGCTTTTAAATGTGTCCCTACCAGTAAAGATGCGTCTTTACCAGTAGAGGGAGCAATAGGCATTAGGTGGCTGTGAGGCAAGAGTCCACAGAGAACCCTTGTTCACCTTTCCTGGAGGGATTGTGGAGACTTGGCTCTGGTCAGACCTGCAACAGCAGCGCCACCCACCTTAGATGTCCATCTGTGTGATGGTCAGTGTCACACCTGAAACAAAGCTCCACTCGCCTTAGATGTCCATCCATTTAATAGCATAAGACCTGAAACAACAGTGCTACCCACCTTAGGTGTCCATACATGTGATGGTCAGCATCAGGCATTTGGGGCAAAGATGAGAATGCATCATCGGTTTGGTTTGGTTTGGGGTTTTTTTTGGTGTTCTTGAGACGGTCTTCCCGTAGTCCCAGCTGTTTTTTAATTTGGGTTCTCTTTTGAGACAAGGTCTTGCTGTGTAACCCAGGCTGGCTTCAAACTCATGCATGGTCCTCCCGCTTCCATTTCCTATGTGCTATGACCATAGGCATATGCCACCATGCCTGTCCTGTGTTGTGTTGTTTCCATTTAGACAGTCTGTTCTGGTCCAGAATGGACAGTAAGGAGCTCTTTGGAGTTGTAGGAGTGTGTGGTTTTCAGAGGAGCACACTGATTTCGTGTGTTGTTGGTCCTTGAGACCAGGGTCTCCTGTAGCCCCAGCTGGCCTGGAACTCACTGTGTGGACCAGGCTGGCCTTGAACTTGCAGAGATCCTAAAGGTGTGCTGTTGGGAGCACCTACAGTGTGCACCACCATGCCCAGCAGAACACACTGGTTTTAAGAACACTAGAACTGTATAACAGAAATCCCAAATCATCAGTTTTTGTGTTTCTTTAAAATCAGTTATTTTAAAAAGTTTTACTGAATTTTTGTAAATTTCATACATTTTGATCATATTTAGACCCCCCCCTCCCGTCCGTCCCGTCTGTGCCCCTCTTAATGCCCCCCACCTGATTCCATGTACCCTGTCATATGTATTATGGCCTGTGGAATTAAATGTGTGTCCTCAAATGCGCTCTGGTGTGGATCCATTCAGCTTGGTCAACCCATCTGGCATCAGCAAAAGCAACTCTCCATCTTGGCAACTGTCAGTTGCCAGTAGTTCTCCAACTTGAGCTAATGGGGGTCTTGTGAATGCTGTCACCATTGGTGTAAGTTCATATGAGTAACCTCCCAGCTCTGGAAAACTTTGCTTATGGTCATGTACCACCTCAGTCTCCTAGACCCTTTCTGCCCCCTTCCACAATGTTCTCTGAGCCTTAAGAGGTTCCCTGGAAGTGTCTGATTCAGGGATAAGCCCCTGCAGCCTCCTGTTTTCTGCACTTTGGCCAGTTGTGGTTTTGTGCGTTAATCACCAACTGTTTGCTTCTGACAAGAGATGCCCCTCTTCCACTGTTCCCTGAGCCATAGGTGTACAGGATGCACAGCAGGTGTGCCACTTAGGGCTTGGCACCTCACAGGCACTTGATCTTGCATTTGATCAGTTGTGGAACTTCATAATCTGTTGCAAAAAGAAGCTGCTTAATGAGTGGTGAGGTGTACACTGTCACGACTGCCAGAACTTTCCAGCAGAGAGGCCTGGCCTGGTCCTGGAATGGGAGGGTTCTGACTCGCTAGGCAGGGTGAAAATTCTAAAATCAGTTTTTTGTATTTTTTTAATTTTATGTGTATGAGTGTATCGCCTACATGTATATGAGCGCACCTGTGTTGTGCAGTGCCGGAGGTCAGAAGAGGGCTTCGAATTTCCCTGGAACTGGAGTTAAGGATAGTTCGTAGCTACCATATGGGTGCTGGGAATCGAACCTGGGTCCTTTGCAAGAGCAATCAGTGCTCTTAACTGCTTCAGCCCAAGCAACAAATATCCTTAGCTGCTGAGACATCTCCCTAGTCCCCTCACTCCTTTATTTAATAGGATCTTATCCCAGGCTGTCCTCAAGCTTGTGGCAATCTTCTGCTTCAGCCTCATCAAGTGCTGGGATTACAGATTGGGTAAGGAGTTAGGTTGTTTATAAAAGGTCCTAACTAGTCTCCAGCATTCAGAGAATTGTGGGTGGCTTTTGGTGTGTAGCCTGTCTGGGCACCAAGACTGTCCCTCACACAAATGCCGAGATGGTGCGGAGGTCAGATGTCTGGGTGCACAGCTCCTTACTCGACAGGCTCACTTTGCCGTGCTCTGGTTGCTGGGTCATGTCCTTGATCACCACTGGTAAACCACACCCTCACAAGCACTCATTTAGTGCTTAAAACGTGTTCTATTCACATGTGGAAGTGGTCACTGTTGAGTCCTGCATATCGAACGTTTTTCCATAGCCAGCCCCTCATTTGCATATGAACACAGTTACTAAAGCTTTCAAGAATAATTTGTGTAATTCAGTGTGCAAATAACTTCCATGCTTAAGAACAACCATAGCAAAGGACGCAGCAGTGAAAGCAGCTGTGTTGAGGGAAGGTTAATGAACTGAGTCAGGAGGAAACGCCAGCCGATGCTGTGCTGTTTCCATCGCTTGCTTGCAGATAGAATCCACGTTGACCTCCCCATCTGGACCTGTCTGGATTGCCAGACAGTGCTGTATCTCTTGCACCACCTGTGAGGCGAGTATTTAGGAGAAAGGGGGTTTTATTTTTATTTTATGTGTATGCGTGTTACACCTTCATGTATGCTGTGTCTGCAGTGCCTGCGGAAGCCAGAAGAGGGTGTTGGGTCCCTGGAATTGGAGTTACGTTAGCCACCCTGTGGGTGCTGGGAGTCAAACCCCATCTTCAAGAGCAGTCAGTGCTCTTAACCACTGAGCCATTGCTCCAGCCCCCTGAAAAGGGGCTATATTATACACCCAGAAGAGTTCAGAGTTTTGTTTTGAGACAAGGTCTCACTATGTGGCTGTGACTGACCAGGAACTCACTTTGTAGACCAAGCTGGCCTGAAAGCCCTAGAGATCCACCTGCCTTGAGTGCTGAGATTAAAGGTATATGCCACCACACCCAGCCAGAGTTGAGAGTTTTTAAAATGCAGATGGGCTGGAGAGATGGCTCAGCAGTTAAGAGCACTGACTGCTCCCGCAGAGGACCCGGTTCGATTCCCAGAACCCACATGGCAGCTAACAACTGTCCATAACTCCAGTTCCAGGGGATCTGACAGCCTCTTCTGACCTCCACGGGCATTGCACGACACAAGTGCGCTTACCTACATGCAGGCAATACATGGATACACATAAAATGAAAATAATAAGATTTTTTGAAAAACAACCCAAAAACCCAAACCAGGGATCTGTGCCCCTAACAGCCTTAGTGAGTGCCCAGCCCCATGGTCTTCTGTCTCCTACCTTGCTCCTGGCAGAGAACCAGAATTAGCTGACTAGCCCAGCCTCAACAGTGGCTAAAATAAGGAAGGGGGCCGTCTGTGTTGAGGGAGAAGCCCCGCGTGACCTGCAGGGCCTCTCCAGAAAGACCTAAGTTAAATATTCCCGAGAATGCCAGGAAAGAGCAGCTGGAAGCCAGGCAGGGACGCAAGCATGGGGCTGAGGGTCTAAACTGCACATGCCAGAGCTGAGTAAGCAGAGCCTTGGGGAGCAGCAAATAGAGCTGAGCTGGGCAGATCTGGGGGTAATCTGGGAAACTCGGGGTTGCCATGGTAACCTAGCCCTGCTGTCGCTGAGACATCCAGCAGACACTGGCTAGAGTTTTTCTAAGGCTTTGGAATTTGCTTGGTTTCTGGGGTACGATCAGCCTCTGCCTGCAAGGAAGGATACCCAACTCCCAGGCCTTCCTCCTCCTCAAGAACTCCAGTGTGGTTTCTGCTGCTGGCTGTGAGGATCCCAGAGAAGAAGGGTCTCCCTGGCATTACTTTCCAGGGAAGGAGGGAAGCAGAGCAGAACCTTCAGTGCAGACAGCAGTGGGATCAGCCGCTCCTTGGAGTGGAATGGAAAATTCTGGGCTGAAAACCACCAAGGAGATGCAGTGCAGCCTCTGGAGCCTACAATAAAGTGTACTGTGCCCATGGTACCAGTTTTGCAGGAAAGCGTACCGAGAGCTCAGGTTTCTGTATAGACAGATTCAGCTGGAGAAGTTAAGACTGGGGCTAAAGACAGGAGAGGGCCTTCCAAGTTCAGACTGCAGCTAGGCCTAAGGGGTCAGACCTGTGGTTCAGAGAGGCCGCTGGCTGGAGGGCCTGGCAGGGTGCTGCTGTTCTGGCAGAACACAAGTTTACAGCTTGCAGCAAGCTCAGCCTTCCTTCAGGAACTCATGAGTCTTTGTCTAGGAAGAGTTTGGAAGGTGCACGATAAGAAGAGGAAGACTTGTGGGTCCTGAGAGGACCACCAAGATCCCAGGCTCGCCAAGGTGGCAGTCATTGGTGACTTAATGAATTAGGAGCTTG